AACAAAACATTGTTATGTGGTATCGTGGCAACAGACTGCTTTTCCGAGAGACAAGTGACAGTGGAACCGCGGTTCCGGAGAATCTGACGTAAATACGTCTCTGTATTGAAATTATATTTAGGCAATAAATACAATGAAAGCAAGGGGGTTAAAACACTTAACCAACCACCCCAAAAGGGGGGGGGTTGGTTAAGTGTTCTAAAATCTTGAGTAAGACACTAAACTACTAGTTTAGTTTAGTGTCTTACTCAACCACTTGGTTAAGTTTCCTAGGTAACGACAATGCCGAGTAAACACGACGTTGCATAGGCAACCATTGTTGTCGATTTGTTGATACGGATCTTACAAATTTTCGTTCCACATTTTCGTTGCACGTTTTCCTTCCACTTTTTCGCCGAATGACCCTTCCGTATAGACGTATTTACGTCAAAAATAAACAAGAAATGCAGTCTGCCTTGTCGTCTTAAACACAAACATTCGCTTGTTTTGTCATCAGTCGCGTTGGGGATTTGTGACTTACCATCCGGAAATGGCAGCTCTTGTCTACTGTCCTGAGAACTTGTGCTGTGGTCAAATCGGTGTGTCCTGTAACTTTCGTTTTCTTATGCATTAGGTGTGCGTAGGCTCCATTTCATGGACATTCTGTCGAGTCCTAACTGTAATTATAAACCGACCAACTGCTTTCATAATTACCTGGATACACGCACGCACACAATCACAAACAACGCCGAAAACATTCACACAAACACGCCCACACGTCCACATGCAGAAGAGCACGCCCGCACACACAACCACTAACGCATACAAACACGCAAACACAAACTCAACCAAACACACTCGAACACGCAAAAACATATTTCTCAAAAAACTGTCTTTCATCGTTTCAACTTCTTCATTTTCTTCACGAAATACTTGAGGTTGATTCAATGAAGATTTTCCGTTTGCTTCGACGTTATCCATCTCAAACACACTCAGATTTCAAGAATCTATTAATCTTGTGCCTAATCGTACGACCGCTTGAAAGCTGATAACAAACAGAGTAACGATAGCATCGAGTAAAGAATATCCGAGGCGACAATGCATTGTTGCTTCCGATGAGTTGTTTACTCGTTCCATTGTTGAGTGTCATTTTAACAATGCGAATGAAATGCCTAGATACAGGGCTGTCGGAGTCCGTCTATCACTGTGTGTATTCTGGTTTGCTGGGCCTTGCAGTCTGGTAGAAGTGTGCCGACGTTTCAGAAGTGCTTCCTGCCTCCATCAAGAGGTCTCAACATCCCCGAAGACACCTTTCTTCATTCTCGCCTCCGTGGGGATCATTTTCCTCATCACCTTCAGAACTATTGTGCGCATAAGAGAACGATCTCACTTCTACACCAATGCAGCTTGTGCGTCGGCAAAACTCTGTCCATCTTCGGTCTCGCATTCGTCTTCTCCTTCCTCATTGGTTCCGCTCCTTTCGCGATCGTCTCACGATTCATCAATAGTATCGACTCCGCATGTGACAAGCTCAGCTCGTCTTTCGATATCGATCTATCTCTAAAGCAATCATTTGGAATTCTAAAAACATTGCGTAAATTTCGTTATAATTTCTCAGAAACGATCAATGCGGGAAAATTGTGGGCCAGGACTAAAATTTTTGAATGATTGATGCGATAAAACCCGAGGAAAGCTAGAAGCGAGAAAATCTAATATTATTAAAATGGGACTTATCAGCGACCGAACAAACCAGAATATGCATCCGGGAAAACAATAGTTCTGGGAACGATGGATAGAGGTTTCACTGTATATACTGTCACTCCTCACAATAAATTTATATATAGTACATGTAACATGCATTAAAAACAAAAGTTATTTCGGAAATAGCTGCTGTACTATGTTCCTCAGGGGCAAAGTTTGTCTCGGGTACACAGAAGTAAATACCCTATAAAATGGTAAATGGATGGAATAATAATAATAATAATATAAAATCCAAATATGGAAATTCAGCTAATGTGGAATATAAAATATCTTGGCACACCGGTATGCACTTGGACAGACAGGATTTTTAACTTATGGGTTTAAAAACTTCTGTATACAACAGCAGCAAAGTATTCAATAGGTTCTCTACAAAAGAAATAACAGCTGCACCGAACTACAAACAAATATGAGACCCCAAGTAAGATTAATTGCCCGCGCCGGATCTAGAGTGAACAAGTAAATTTTATAATTCTGGAAAAGTTTACATTCTTCACGTCGTAACGCGTTAAAACACGAAAGACTGGTAAACATTTTAAAGGCCGTTGTTTCAAAGTCTGTCCAAAAGTCGTCACTTCCGCTCGTACGATCTAACGACCAGATACGACAGCTGCAAGTTGCATTATTCATTATAATTAAAACTGTAACATGACCGCTTCATCGCCATCCTGTAAAATAGGCTCACTTTTAAATTAACATTAACGTAGCATCTGTAACCGCCACGGTGGTCTAGCGGTTAGAACGCTGGCCTTGTAATCCTCGGGTCTCGGGTTCGATTCCCGGCGGTGCCCGAATTTATAACTTGTGTTGGGCAAGGCCGTGGTCTAGGCAACACGGAGTTTTCCTCCGGGGGCTTCCCCGGTTTCTCCGTGGCATCCCAACAATTACTCCATTCACACACAGAAGAAGGCAATGGCAAACCACTACTGGATCATCTGCCAAGAACGTATATGAACAGGTCCCAGTCCGAGAAAAGGATGGAAGGATCCTGTTCATATGGACCTGTCGTCAGACAGAACACTAAATAAAATAGCATCTGTAATGAAATGGAGTGGTGATTTTCGCATTGATTTCAGCAAAATGAACTGGAAAGCGGCAGTTTATAACATGTTTACTTAACGATACGCGAATGAATTTCTTCTGTCAGTTGTTCGCATGCATAAAGCCACGTTAGACATTCAGTTCTATATCTCACATGCTTCAATTCCAATGTTAGCATCCACGATTTAAAATTTCACCCTAATGTAGCCTCCCATGTCATTAAAATTTCCTCAAAATTAATCTTTCCCAAGCGTAATATCAAAATTCTGATCAAATGTAGTAAGATCCTGCTCAAATTCTTCCGTTTTCTCATGAAATGAGACTGTCCACTTATCATTCTGCAGTCTCCCACTTCAAGATGTTTTACCTTCGCTTTAATGAACCGTTACCAAAAGGCCGAATGGGTAATGCCTGAAAACCTCCAGAGCCAGAAATCTCCTTTCCCCACCCCGGTTAAGTTTTGCGTCACTGGCTACTGCCCTTAGCATTCTCTTGTTCCCTCGTAAGTCTGCCTGGTAACGGACATCACGTCGGCATTTGTTCTGTTTACCCAACCAAAAAGCTAACTGAGGGCAGAGTCCTGTCGTGGCGGAAGCCTCAACTACTCAAACTGGGGCCTGTCGCTGCTGATGAGAGGTTATCCCGTCAGGCAACATGTCCTGTGCTGTTTACATGTTAGTATCATTTTAAATACATTACACGGGGCTCCCTCCATGTTCGCCTGACTGCGTATTTGTTACTTTCTCATGACTGTCC